GATTGGGTGACCAACGTTCTTACTCCAGAAGCAAGTATGAAGGCTAATTTACTTTAAAATTCTTTTACTTAACTATTTTTACCTAACTTACTTAAAGAAATCTTTGTTTTATGTGTTTAGATGTTTTGCCTGCGTACATATCTATGCACTGTGTGCATGTCTAGTGCCTGTAGAAGCCAGAAGAGCTTGTTAGATTCCCTGGGACTAGAATTTCAGATGTCTCTGAGCCACCATGTGGCTGCTGGGAATTGAATCCCACATCCTCTGGAAGAGTAGTCAGTGCCTTTAACCATGGAACCTCCTAATTGGCTGTCTATTGCTATAACAAAGACCAAAAGCAATTTGGAGAATATGGGGTTGATCTGGCTCATACATTTCAATCACAGCCTATCGTCAAGGGAACCCAAGACAGGAGCCAAAACAAAGGCCATGGAGGAGTGCTGCTTACTGGCTTACTCTTCATGGCTTGCTGCATTTGCTTTTTTATACAACCCAGTATCATCTATCCAGGGATGCCACTGCCCACAGTAGGCTGGGCTCTCTCATATTAGTTGCTAATCAAGAAAATGCTTTCACAGACTCACCTACAGGCTAGTGTAATGGAAGTATCTTTTTCAGTTGAGGGTCCTTCTTTTCACATGACCCTAGCTTGTGTCAAGGTGATCCAGTGTCAGATATGATGTCTTAGGATCTGGCCCAGGAGTGATGGGCCAATATCTTTGTTCTAGAGCCATGTAAAACTTAATCCCAATTTTTGGAAGAAAAAAAAAAAACGTTGGCTAGCCATTGAAAAAGGGAGAGACTGAAAATATGGAGCAGAATAAGAAGTCCCACTAGAATGATAAGAGGGATCACCATGGCTACAGCCACCTAAGTAGTGACTGGGACCATAGTAGTGTAAAGGAAGAGCAAGTGGTGGCAGACCTGGTGTGAAAGGAAGAGTTCTCATCACAAATAGACCAGGAAGGCAAGAAAGTGGTGAGTGTGGAGAGGAGGAGATAAAGGTTTTAGCTTTTCTGAAAGTTCCCATGAGGCATGAGAGAATCAAGACAGGATACAGGTTTAGGTGTGATGAATTAGTACGTCTGAGCTGCCGAGTGATGGCCTGGGGGTCCTCTGGAGCCCAAGACTTGTAGGACAATGTCAGTGATGTACTTTAGACTATGGTGAGGTGTAGATCCTGTAGCCTGAGATTAAGGATGACTGTGGCACACACACTTACCATAAACTATTTTCCAAGCAAGAATAGAGGAGACATGAAACACAGACTATAGCTTCACTTATATGGAGCTGGACAAACCAGGTTTTGTTTTTTGTTTGTTTGTTTGTTTGTTTGTTTTTGAGACAGGGTTTCTCTCTGTAGCCCTGGCTGTCCTGGAACTCACTCTGTAGACCAGGCTAGCCTCGAACTCTCAAACTCAGAAATCCGCCTGCCTCTGCCTCCCAAGCGCTGGGATTAAAGGCATGTGCCACCACTGCCCGGCGACAAATCAGTTTTGATGAAAAAGAATAGAGCATTTAAAACTATTTGATATGCATGTGTGCCTGAGTGTTTGCACATGCACCATGTACATTCAGCACCCAGGGAAGTTAGGAGAGGGTGCTGAGCCTCTGCAATCAGAGTTCAAAGCAGTTGTGAGCCATCACGTGGGTGCTGGGAATCATCTGAAAGGTCAGCAAGTGCTCTTAACTGTTGAGAGATCTCTATGGCCCAAGACTGAAGCATCTTGAAAAAAATTTTTTTTTCATGGCTTGCAAAGAAAGGATTTGCATGATGGGACACAGGCGAGAGTGAGTGTAAGTTATTAAGACCATTCCTATTTGGGTGCTTTAAAGTGTGGGTCTGGGACTGTGGTTCCTGAGATCCATCAAGCTCCATTGTGTTACTGCTGAAATAAGGCTCTCTTGTGTCTTACCTTGAGTGCTTTCTGGAAAACTGGTTTATCTTTGACAAGTGAGCCCACGTTAGGAATTTTCTGGAGTCTTGCTGTTATTGAAATACTTTTAACAAGACCTGGAGAAGTTCCCTTTGAATAGTCTGCAGCTGGTCATCTGAAAGAATGCCTTCCCAGAGCCAGCACAGGTTAACTGCTTCATGTAGAACTTGGTTTTGTAAACACTTTATTTTACTTTTAATACTTTTTGGTTGGATCTTTAAGAGCACGTAGGTGCGTGGTGGTTTGAATATGCTTGGCCCATTGGAAGTTGTAGCAGGATATATTCCCATTCCATTTGTATAAAGCTCGGCGATTGGGCTGTATGAGAAGGAGAGGAGAGAGAGGAGGAGGAGAAAAGATGGTGGCAGATGTCCGAGTGTCTCTAGTAGAGGTAGTTATTAATATCAAGGTTAGGTAATTGGGTTTACAATTCTAATTGTGTGGGCATCTTGTTAATTGAGCATTTCCAAATATAGGAACCAATTGGATAACTTTAAGCTCTGAGTAAGACTCTTCATTCTACTGGGTACCACAGGCATGGTGGGTATTGCCTAGGGTTCAGTCGAGGTTTGTGGAGACAGCATGGAGGGTTGGCAGAGCCCCCGACACTGGCGTCTTGTGGGTGCCAGGGCCAGTGTTTCTAGATAGCCAGAGCCACGGGAAAATGGTGGCTGTCTGGGAACAGTCTGGACCGGGCGCTGCTTTTTAAATATTACCAGCAACAAGAAGTGGCACTAATAGGTGTGGCCTTGTTGGAGGAAGTGTCTTACTGGGATTTGAGAGCTCCTAGTGCTCAAGCTCCACCCAGTGTGGAAGAGAGTCCCCTCCTGGCTATCTTCAGTCAAGGTGTAGAACTCTCAGCTCCTCCAGCATCATGTCTGCCTGCCATGATGATAATGGACTGAACCTCTGAAACTGTAAGCCAGCCCTAATTAAATGCTGCCTTTTATAAGAGTTGCTGTGGTCATAGTATCTCTTTACAGCAATGAACTAAGACAGGTGACCAAAAGTTAACTTTCCACCACTGATCAGTCATTTGAACTCCATTTGAACTCCACAAGGGTTAGTGGTAGGAACTTTTTAAAGACACTCCTAGGTCCTTTTCATTGGTCCTCTACCAGCCCTTCCATCTACATGGACAAGTTCAGGGTTTTGATAACCATGTGGCTTCCCTTGGAAATATAGGGAACACTTTCCTCTGGTGAATCCCTTCTAAAAGCTTCCCATCATTTCTAGTTCCTGGCTGCTCTTGGAAGGCAAGGATCAAACTCTTGGCTGTTCTTTTAACCCCCTAATCTTCATTGGTTTAGGGCCCTAAGCTTTGGTTGTTGAACTCAGAAGGAAACTTTTTAAGACTTACTCAGTCTTGAGTAAGTGTTGGACTTTATTTTTTACTATTGTATAACATTTAGACATTGTTTAGTCAAAAACAGACTTTCTAATGACTTGATTTCAGGACTCAATTCTCTACAAAGTTAAACACCTGACAAACTTTACTGCCCAAAATATAATTATGACAAAACATTATTTTTGTTTTTTTAAGCCATTTTTGTAAATGCTACCAAGAGATCAATACCTCGAGAGTCTCATTGTTTTACTTTTATTATGTTTATTCGCATGTATGTGGGTGTGTGTCATAGAGGTCAGAGGATAACGTGTTGGAGTTGGTTCTTTCTTCACATGGGTCCCAGAATTGGCTGTCAGCATTTGTGGCAGGTACCTTTATCCACTGAGCCAACCTTCCCCCATTTTTCTTAATGTGAATGTTTAAAGCATGTTTACATTTCCACTTTCTTTGGCTAAATTGTATTTTCATTTTTTTTCTTAATTTTCTTTGCGATCACTTCCTTGATCCATTGATTATTTGGGAAAACGTTGTTTAATTTTTACATATTTGTGAATTTCCTTTTTTCCTTTCTTTTTTTTCTTTGTTTTTCATTTTGTTTCATTTTTTTTTTTTTTTTGAGATAGGATTTCTTTGTGTAGCCCTGGCTGTCCTGAAACTCACCCTGTACACCAGGCTGGCCTTGAAATCACAAAGATCTACTTGCTTCTGTCCCCCGAGTGCTGGAATTAAAGGCATGAGCCACCACCACCTGGCTCATGTGAATTTCAAAGCTTTGTTACTGACTTCTAATTTCTACTGTGGTTAGAAAGCACCTTTTCTGCTTTACTCTGACATTTTGAGAGATTGTTTGATGGCCCATGGTCTATCTTAGTGGGGCTTGGGGTGTTGCTCAAGCCTTGTACTTTCTTCTTGGCCCTCTCTCTTGCTGTTCTGTTCATGATTTATGCCTGGGTGTCTTAGGGTTTAACTGCTGTGAACAGACACCATGACCAAGGCAACTCTTATAAGGACAACATTTAATTGGGGCTGGCTTTCAGGTCCAGAGGTTTAGTCCATTATCATCAAGGTGGGAACATGGCAAAATCCAGGTAGGCATGGTGCAGGAGGAGCTGAGAGTTGTACATCTTTATCTGAGGGCTGCTAGGAGAAGACTGGCTTCCAGGCAGTTAGGATGAGGATCTTAAATCCCACATCCACAGTGACACACTTACTCCAACAGGGCCACATCTAACAATGCCACTCCCTGGGCCGAGCATCTACAAACCATCACACTGGGTATTAGGAGGTCCACCTTTTCTTGTTTCATTGTGCATTTTTCCTTTCATTGTGTTAGATTTTGTTTCAGGTAACTTTTTAGTTTTGCTGTGTTGATAGCACTGTAAAAAAGAGGTGTATATCATGCATATATGTCTTAAATAATTTATAATGTGTGAATTACTTATGACAAAGGCTGGCATGTTGAATCACTGGAGATAGAGAGTAAACAATGCTAGGACATTAGTTATCTGGAAAATATTTAATTATGATTCCTATCTTAGTCTATGCTACCAAAAATGAATTCTAAGCCAATAAACACATTAAATATTTTTTAATAAAGAACACAAAAGAAAATATATATGTAATTTGGGGATGAAATATTTTTGCATGAGAAAAATATTAACAATGGAAACCAAAAAGGAGGGAGATTGAAATGACCACATAAAAATTTAAAACTTCCTACCCCTAGAGCCCTTGCAAGTGACTGTGTCACACGTGTGTCAGTAGATGGCAGAGAGGAGCAAGCCTATGTCTACACTTGGTGTTCTGACCTATGAACATCTGAACAATTGATTAGTAGCCTTACACTCCCTGAAAAAAGCGGAGCTTGAGTCTACCACCAACCTGGCACCATGGGGGCTCAGACAGGGAGCTAGCCTGAGAAGACCACTAGTCTGGTACCATGCAGGCCTTGGGGGGAGCAGACCATGCCCTAGATGACCCCTGCCCAGTGCCATAACGCACAATCAAGGCATAGCATTCCTGAGACCACTCTTGAGATGACCCCAGATACTCAAGAAACCATGGCAACCATTAAGAGGAGTAAGTAAGTGGTGGAAAAAGGAAGAGAAACAGAAGGATGTGGGCACAGTGAAGAGAGGCAGAACTGGAGACTTGAGGGCAGTGAGGAACAGTTAGGGGACAGTGGTGCCACCTGGGATCATGGTGGGGTCCTGGTCTGTGTTCCCACTAGGGGCCACATCTGGGTCCATAGTCCTGCAGCAGCAGCAGCAGGGGTCTGTTACCACAAAAAGCCAGGCAGATGTCTCTGGTTTGGGCTGCCACCCAGAAACATGTTGATGTCTGAGGGCTGTGCAGATCTGGCCCACCACTCACCTGGGCATCATGGGAGAGCTAGCCCTGGAGGAATGAAAGCAGGAGAGGTGGCCCTGCCCCTCATGTGCTGCAACACTTGGGAGAGCAGGCCCTGCACCTCGCTTGGGCAGCATGTGTGAGCATGAAAGTGTTGGACCAGCAACTTGTCTGCTATGTGGTGACATGGACAAGGGAGAATATACATTTAACTTTTATTCACCTGATATAATTGTGGTCTCTGAGTCTTGTCGTCTTCATCTGCTAACCTAGGCCTAGTCCTAAAAGCTTCTAGCCACCACACAATTCTATCTAGGCCTACAATATTTTCAGCCTCTGAGTCTTAAACTGCTGAATAAGCTCACTCTCTTTCGTTCTTCCTGAACTCTGGCTGGCTGGTTCAACTCAGCTGTTCTGGCTCAAACTCTTCTCCAAGCTGATTTCAATCTGGCTTCTCTCAGCTTCCTGAAGAATTGCTCTGTTTGGCCTCATACTAACTTTGGCAATCTGTTCTAATCTTCTGGCTCCTTCTCATTCTTGGGCTCATTCTGTTTTCACCTATGTCTAGTTTGTTCTCTCTCCAACCAGTCTCTGTACAACTACCCCAGTTAAAACTGCCTTCTTCTCTCTCTGGCCTGCATCTTAAGTAGCTTCCCTTTCCCCTTTCTTCTCGTGAAAGCTGGGCGTATCCTATTCTGTCAGATCATTCTCTGATTCATCACTTTGTCTGCCACTCAATTAGGCAACACTTTTAAACATAGGTGCTTCCTTCTACAAACTAACTTTACCTTCATTGTTTGGGATTAAAGGAATGTGCTAAAGACTGAGCCACACCACAGCTAGAAACAGGTATTTTCAGTAAATAACACAATCTTGGGGTTCACACTATGATCAAATATCCTGCAACAGGAGAGATGATGCCCCCCAGAACCTCAGCTTTTGCCACCTATGGCAGGCACGAAAGCTGGCTCATAGGGCACCAGAGAGCAGGACCTGTACCTCACCTGGGTAACACAGTAAAGCTGGACCTGGGTGTGGGAGTTGTGGATGAGCCAGCCATAAGAGTGGAGTGTGGGAAAACTGGTCCTGCCCCTTCTCTTCTGGGCAGTGGCTCAGATGAAGGAGATGCCCTCCCCCTCTCCTTCTTCCCTCCACATCTATAGCAGGAGGGAGAGCTGGCCCCAGGGTCATAAGTGTGGGAGAACTGGCCATGTCCCTCACTGTCTGCAGCACTAGAGAGAGCAGACCCTGCACCTCACCTGGGCAGCAATGTAGAGCTGGACCTGGTGATGGTATTTTCTTGTGAGCTAGCCTCAAGGGCTTGAGAATAGGGAAGCCTCTGGGCTGACCACTTCAGCTCCCTCTCTGGCTCAGATCCAGGACTTTGATTTGGCCCGTCTCAACATCTATCCCATCAATGAGTGCACGAAGGGGCCAGTTCTACAGATCCAAACTATAGGATCTCCATGACACAGGGCAACAGCAGGATATCTAAGAGAAGTCCCAGTGAGGTTCCAGTATTGATAGAGCAGCTGAAGCCAAAGCCTTGAACCAGACCAACAAATCTTATAATGAACATTTGTAGGCATGAGGGGCTGAGCTTGGATCCCCAGCAACTATCAAACCAAGTTAGGAATATGTACTGGCTGGTTTTATGGGCCAACTTGACACAAGCTGGAGTCATCAGAGAGGAAGGAGCCTCAGTTGAGGAAATGCCTTTGTGAGACCCATGTAGAGCATTATCTCAGTTAGTGATCAATGGAGGAAGGCCCAGCTCTTTGTGGGTGGAGCCATCTGGGCTGATAGTCCTGGGTTTGATAAGAAAGCAAGCTGAAGATGTCATGGGCCCGTAAGGAGCACCACTCCTTGGCCTCTGCATAAGTTCCTGCCTCCATGTTCCTACCCTGATTGCGTTCTTGTCCTGACTTCCTACAATGATGGACTATGATCTGGAAGTGTAAGCCAAATAAACTCCTCCCACCCCCACCGCAACTTGCTTTTTGGTCATGGTGTTTTCATCACTGTAATAGAAGCCCGGAGTAAGACAGCATAGTTCCATGCACCTGTGACCCCTGGTGCAGTGAGGGCAGAGAGGCAGCTCCCTAGTGCTTGCTGTCCAGTCAGCAAGTACCAGAGAGAGACCCTGTCTCAAAGAGAATGTGAAGAAGAGGGATCAAGGAAGACATCTAGCATTGACCTCTGGCCTTCACATGCACATGTGTGCACACTCATGCACGCGCGCGCGCACACACACACACACACACACACACACTGGAGGATGATTTAGAAACAGCTCACATTAATCTCAGACCTCCGCGTGTACTTGCAGGATGGGCTTCCTACTGAAATCATTTCCAAAGCCAACGGAAAATAAAATACTTGCACATTAAAAATAAAGAGGCTTGATGGTAGAAGACATACTTAGCATGTGCTAAACAGAGTCACAGGACTTGGACAGTGAACCCACAGCAGAAGAAATAAACTTACATCACTACGAATCAACAAATTTTACCTAGTGAAAGGGATTTAAAAAAAAAAAACGAGGAATAAAATGGGGAGACGTAGGCTGGAGGGTTACTGGTGAGTTTGAAACCAGCCTGGGCTATATACATTCTTTGTATTAAGCTAGCCAATAGCACACAGTGTGATCCTGTCTCAAACAAACAAACAAACAAACCAACAAAACCAAAAAACCAACACATCCCCCAAAGTAACTACACAACAATTTAACTATAAGGCACTGGGAATGTAGCTTGGAAATGGATTTTAGTGGTATGTATGTATAGCAAAACCTTTGTGTCTAGTTTTCAGTGAAATGTATAGCAAAACCTTTGTGTCTGGCTTTTAGTGAAATGTTTCAGCAAAGCCTTTGCTATGCCTGAGTTAATCAGTAGAGACTGAGAAATTGTTATGAGACTGTTTGAACCTTGAAGAAATGTCTCTCTGGAGAATCTGTACTTGGTGCTATGTGAGAGCTGAAGCTATACTGACCTTGGTCCTAAGACACTCCTGGCAAGCCTGGAGTTCTTACTTTTTGATTATGGCTACCCATGGTCAAAAGTGACTGAGATTTGTGTGGGTTGTTTGCTGTCAGGGGCAGCAAGGGCTAGATATAACATATGTACGTATGTTCTACTGAAATCAATCAATAGTAGGTGACTGCTTTTGTTGTTTACACTGTACAATGAGCCAGCTTTGAGTCCTCATACCTTCAAGAACAAAACACCCGCAAATCAAAAACGAAAAACACAAGAGGGGTAACAAAGCCTTAAACACTGAACTATTAACATATTACATTTAACTAGCCCAATACTAAAAACTCATTTTAAATGTTCAATAAGTAGGCATTACTTAAACAGTATAGTGGGACAGTACAAGTCCTTACAATGTGTAAGTTTCTTTAATGGCATGGCAGTGTAATCATGATACAGTAAATGCAGTAAGCAGGATGCTGGGAGATGTGGTTCAGTTGGTAGACTGCTCACATGGCATGTGGGAATAACCGTGTGTTCAGCTTACAGCGTAACTATACCAGTTGTGGTGCCACACACGAGTGATCCCAGCACTTGGCAGGTGGAAGTAGGAGGTTCCGAGGTTTAAGTTTATCACTGCCTGCATAGTAAGCTCCAGACCAGACTGGGCTACAGGAGACCCTGACTTTAAAGGGCAGAAAAAAGCAGGCTGCAAAATAGAATATACAGTTTCCTTGCCTTCTCTTCTTCCCCTACTTGAGGCAGGACCTCTTTGGGGGGCCTGGGATTATAGGCATGAGCTAACACATGTGGCTATCCCTCAATTCCACTCTTATTGAGGCAGTATGAAAATGCACACAGAAAGCAAAGGTTAGCACTCACCTCTGAGTGGGAAGGTCATTAAGGATCCAAGCATCTCCATCACTGTGAGCACTCTGGGTGACTCTTGCCTTGTGCTTCTGTCCTCCCCCCCACCCCAGATTTTCTGATATGCATGTCTTATTTTTCACCAAAGACAGGAACAATTTAAAGTAAAAGTTTCTCTATGAACTTGGCAACATAAACTAAAATCCTTAGATATGGAGGAAAACAGGAAATGTGCTCAGTATAGCTCAGTGGCAGGGAGCTTGCCTAGCATGTGTGAGGCCCTGGGTTCAGTTCTCAGCCTCTTAAGTAACAGAAAGAGGAGGCCCAGTTAGTGCTAGAGATCAAGTAAAACTTTAGGGATGGGTGCAAGCGTTTAGTTTCTACACTGCTGGATTCCTGACAGAGGTCAGTACTTGAACTTAACACCAATACTATGGAATATAATTTAATATTTAAATGCTTTTTCTCTAATGTCACAAAGTGGAAGCCTTAAAACAAGGGAAATGTGTTCTTCAGGACCGAGGCTGACAGATCTATGGAGATGCTGGTGGTGTGCCCCAGAGAGGCCCTGATGCAATCTGCTCTGTACCTCTCCTGTTCCTAGGAATGGTCCCCGTCCTGGGTGTTCCTCAGCTGACAGTCACTAAAATCCCTCCCA